CATTGGAACAGAATGCTATTGAGACTGTTGTTTGAGCCGGAGCTCCATACTGATGTACCTCCTATCTCACTTTACAACCTGATATCTGTTCTCTTAAAGAATAATGCAAAACGTGAATTTGTTGTTTTTTCTAAAACTTGCGTCATTCATAAAACACGTTGAGAGTGCCGAGGTTGTGCTTTAGTGAACGGAGCTGTCGGGTTCTCCAGAGGGGTGGGTTGGGGTGGAGGACTTACCTTTTGATTTTGTCTGTGCAGCCGCCTCACCTCTATCATCACCACGCTCTTCCCCAAGGGCTCCCGCAGTGTAGTACCCAGGGACATGCCTCTCAACATCTTCGTCAAGATCATCCAGTTCATAGCGCAGGTACACGAAGGGTTTCGCGAACACAGGTCAACCTTAACAACAGCCTGAGGGTTGATGGTGACTGGACACTTGTGCTAAGTGGCAGAGTGGATGCCGCTAATATCACTCAGCCTCAAATTAGAAATCTGAAGTGTCATACAATATATTGTTACAAATGGGGGGTTACGAAACTGGTGAAAATCTGGATTTGACCGAGCGGTTTAGTCAATCAGTGAAATAATTATTCATAACCCCCAACTAAAGATGATAAAACCAGTGAAGCGTGTTGGTTTTTGCATCTTTTTTTTAACCACAATCCTTTTCCAAGGTTCTTGATTGTGAAGTGAAGAAATATGATGTAGTGTCTTTTGCTGTCTTCATTGCCTTACATAGGAAAGACTTGATTTCGCAATGAAAGAAATCATCTTTGATCTTCTCAGTGTGGGGAAACCAGCAAGAGCCTTTAGTCTTAACCCTGAGGTATGTAAAACGTAGTCATGGATAGATTTAATTGTACTGCATTATGTGTTGTGTGATGTTTCACTGTTTACTTGATTTTCTGTTTTGCTTACTTTAGTAAGTATAGTAAGTACTGTATATAGAAAGTATAGTTTGTGTTCTTTCTATAATTCTTTCTGTACGAGTTTTACTCGTTCATTGACAGGAAATAATGTCTGATACCATATTGGTATTATGTTTATTTGCTGTGCATATCTATACAAAATGATGAAAATAAGGAGTAATTATGTTATTTGTTTGATATTCCATATTGCTGTTCTTTTCAAAGATCAAAATGCGATTCCATTAACAGTAAAGGCTGTTTCTGCAGCCTTAGAATTACAACAGAGCTCATCTTTGCTGTCTCCTTAAATGGACTTTATAATGAGTTTTCAAGTTCAAGAGGGATGATAACAGACAAGTTCAACCTAAGCCGTCAGTGAATTGTAATCATTCCTGGTGTCATTTCTGCACATACAGAATTATAAATACTATACGTAAGCCCCTTCTCTCCTTTACATACATCTCTTTGCATCCCTCCTTCACCCCATCTCCACCTCTGCAGCTGCCCCTTGGTCACTAATCTCTCTGCATGGGAGTCCCAGCCTCCTCGTCCTATGGCCAGGAGGTTGGCCCTCAGCCAAGCAGTTTAACGAAAACACTCGATAAGCCATTCAATACGTTTAATTCTTGGGTGTTGTTATTTCTTGTGAAAGCATAATTGTAGAAATATCTGAAATCTTCCATAATGTTTATGAGATTCATATTCAAATGAAAATTATCCCATTGTTATATGTTTGATGGTTGCTCTCGTCAATGAAATAATTCATAATTCACAACTTGGCTTTTGGGGCTTGCTGGGCTTAAAGGCTTTTTTTCCTTTGTGTTGTCCAGAGAATGAACATTGGTCTGAGGGCTTTCCTGGTGATTGCTGATAACCTCCAGCAGAAAGATGGAGAGCCCCCAATGCCAAACACCGGAGCTGTGCTGCCGTCAGGCAACACTCTGAGGGTCAAGAAGACCTACCTGAGCAAAACGCTGACAGAGGAGGAGGCCAAACTGATTGGTTAGTGATAGCTGCACAGCTTTTATTTTCCAAGAACACTTCCCTGCAAGCACCACGTAGATAATCAGGAATAAAGGTCTGTCTGGCTGCCCTCTTTGGCAGCTTTCAGAAGGGCTCACTCTTTCTCTGTGAATCTGCAAAACAATAATTTATTAGTGTTGTATGTCTTTTTTCTGGTCTGTTTTTGGAAATATCAGTCCATCGCTGCAGCTTTAGAACGTGGTTCAAAGGCCAAGAAATCTCCACTGATTTACTCAGTTTATCCATAAGGCTCAGTTTAGGGAGGTAAAACACAAAAAATATCATTTTCATGTTACTTGTTTATCAATACCATTTAGAATTTGATGAAGTACATACATATAAACGAGCATGTTTTACACCTTTAAGGGAAATCTGAGTAAAGAGTTTACTTTTTTGCAGAAGTTTGGAAAAGACACACATGGAAAATGAATAAATGAGCCAAGTTATTTTTAAGTCTAGTAGGAACCAGTATCATTGGAGCAGTGGCCCAAGTGTTGTTTTTTTATTTGGACTCCCCACCAAGTCTTAAAACCTACCAGACCTCCTTACCAGCAATCACAATTGGTAATAATTGAAATAGTTGATCAATACTGCCACAATTAGTATAGGGAAGGTATAAAAAAGTCAAACAGAATGCAGTTAAAACTACAGCATTTAAATCAAGGGATGTTATATTAGTATGATTTCATTTAGAATATTGTGTGCAATTTTGGTCACCACATTACAATAAATGCTGCTCTGGAATAAGTGTAGAGCAGCCAGATACATTCTGGACCTTAAAGAAATGTCTTACACTGACAGGCTAGAAGAACTGAACCTTTTTTTAATCTCAAACAGAGAAGACTATCTGGGGAAATGATCCAAGTATTTAAAATCCTCAAAGACAGTGGCAAAACAATCTCAATTGACCCCTTCAGTTTCAAAAGTAAGTCACAACTGGAAACTGCTCATTCTTGTTGGAGAAGGCTAGGCCCTGGCTTCTTTCGAGAAATAGCTGTATGAGATCCTTGGATCCATTAGCTACCTACTTCAGTAGCTACTAACTACCAAACGGGGTAAATGACCTGCACTCATGTCTTATGTTCTTGTGTTTTGTTTTTTCCTTTCAGGTATGGTATTATATTACTCCCAGGTGAGAAAAGCCATAGACAACATCCTCAGACAGCTGGATAAAGAAGTTGGAAGATGCATGATGATGACAAACGCACAAATGCTGAACAAAGAACCTGAAGATATGATAACGTAAGGACCTTTAATTTAACATTAATCTTTCAATAAAGAATTGTACAGATTCGAGTTTAGAAAAGTCTGCTTAATGATAACTCGATGATAGTGAAGCATATAATCTTTGAATTTTTATAGGGCCTAATCTAAAACATTACAAACATCTGACTTAAATGGCTTTCACCTGTATTTTGTAAGTGGTAATTTATGTCTCCAGTCTTCTTCTGTCTTTAATAGGACACCTGATAAACATCTCAATGTATTTCCTCAAGTATAACCTTGCCTGTGTTTATTCCAGGGGTGAAAGGAAGCCAAAGATTGATCTTTTCAGGACCTGTGTAGCTGCTATTCCACGCATACTGCCTGATGGCATGTCAAAGCAGGAGCTGATAGACTTGCTGGCTCGGTACGTTTCTGTCGGAAACGCGATCTGAGGAATGTACCTTACATCAGGTTTCCCATACATCTGATACCTTTTAAGCTTCATCTTCAGTTTAGGACTGTAATTTGACAAGGGTGGACTGTACTAATTAGATTTTATAGCTCGACCCTAAGCTTGTAGAGTCGAGGAACTTTTTTTTTCCTGTCGTTATGAACATGCATTATTTTTTTCTCAGTACAAAGTACCAGAACATATTTGTCAAATGCATTTTCTTCTAGCTAGCAGTTACTAGTGGCAGTGAAAGGGATTCTTTTTTTTAAATAAATCATTGTTTCTTTGTCTCTTATGGAAAAGCTTGATTGTATCTGTGGCCTGTTCTAGTTTACTACCTTGTAAGAGAAATCTGTGATATTAATGAAACAAATAGGTTTTCAGTTATTAAAAAAGTAATGATGCTGTTAAATAATATTATTAACAAATTGGGAAGTGAAGCAGTTTGTAGGCTAAGCTGAAAGCTAAGATTATCTTAGTGTTTGATTTGTAGCTATGTAGCTATTTCATTGGCATCTTGAAAACGTAGTTTCTTATACTCAACATCAGTGAATGCTGAAGTCAAGCAGATAGAGAATTATTACGTTGGATTAACCTTGTTATTGTTTCCCATCAAATTCTTAATTGTTTCTTTAACATGAAATGATATAAAGCCTAGTTTTGAATTGCAGTATTGTAATTCTGTCTTCATGTAGTTGATATTCCCACCAGCCTTGTTTGTCTCTCATTGACTGATGAGATGGGAAAGTTTGGAATGAGGAGGGCCACATAAGAAGACTGATATTGTTTGCTGTCATTAGTTTGCACATGTGACATTAGAAGGTGCTCACAAAGCTTGTGTGCTTTCCAAGGCTGACAATCCACATGGATGATGAACTGCGGCTCATAGCCCAGAACTCCCTCCAGAGTCTGCTGGTGGACTTTGTCGACTGGAGGGAGGATGTGCTGTTCGGCTTCACCAACTTCCTCCTCAGAGAAGTCCATGACACCCACCAAGGCCTTCTGGACACCTCCTTGAAGCTGCTGCTTCAGCTGCTGACTCAGTGGAAACTGGCCATTCAGGCTCAGGGGAAAGGCCAAGACCCAACCAAGATCAGAGCTTCTGAGGTACTGCCAGTGTTTCTAGCAGATATGGGAATGGGTGAATTGATGCTAAAATAGTTTTTTGCATTAATTTTGATTTATTTTTATCTACCTCTTTGTGAATTTTGTAAGCGCATTAAAACAAAATGGAGTTTAGATATTCCACTCGTGTTTGTGTGATTTTCCTTGCATAGTCCAAAGATATACTGGTAAGTTAATTGGCTTCTGGAAGAAGTTGGCCCTGTGTGTGAGTTTGTGTCTGTGTATGCCCTGCAGTGGACAGGTGTCCCATCCAAGGTGTGACCTGCCTAGCACCTGTTGCTTGCCAGGATAGGCTCTGGCTCCCACGCGACCCTGTATTGGATGCAGTGGAGAGAAAATGGATGGATGAATGGAGGATTAGATGGATAATTAAAAACATCAGGCTATAACGATGGTTAAATTGCCTCCTCTCCTTTGGAACCTATCTAGCGTGTTTGGTTGCTAGCTGCTTACCGATTTGAGGATCACATCCCGTCATTTCTTTTAATGGTTTTAGAAGTCCAAACCGAAACCGTGACATTTATTTCCTCACTGATTCATGATATCCTCTAAAGCATTAACAAAGCAATGCAGTTCCTTTGGTTACTTATTTTCACTGGGAGCGAGTGGGGTAGTCAGTGCGGATATCCACTGGGCTCCCTTGCTGTGTTGCAGCTGATACAGAACGGCTCCGGTCACAGGCTGCAGCCGGAGAGGAGCCCCCACTGCAGCGTGCTGCATGCCGTGGAGGGGTTCGCGCTGGTGCTGCTCTGCAACTGCCAGGTCGCCACCCACAAATTAGCCGTGTCCATCCTGAAGGAGATTCGAGCGCTCTTTACATCAATAGGACAAAGTGAGGTAAGGCGTGGCCAAGCTTCTGGATGCTACACAGTTGAGCTTCCAGCACATATAAACGGAACATTTTCTAGTTTTTATGTTAAAATGAACAAGATCAGTTCTTTTCTGACCTTCCCTGCACCTTCCATGTGAAGCTATTCGGATCTTAGTTTGATTTGAATTGGTAAATGTTGGAAAATGTCTGTAGATGTTACAGTGTGTTTGGGAAACTTTTGTACTGTATGTACAGATCTAGAATTAGGACATAAAGATCACACGCTCATGATGGTTCACAATCCACAATTTGTTTTTTTAGATCTGGTTAATTGCAGTTAACGTCAGAATGTCTTGATAATATGCAACTTTGATCCTACAGCCATACACTATCATAAGTTAGCATACTCTCAGCATAGCCTGAGACAGTTAACCAAGATGAAGAAATAGGTGGTGAGCAGTTCAGTTAAATATTTCAGAGATCTCTTGGCACAAACGTTGTCTCTACAGTACAGGAAAAAAAAAACAGAAGACAAGAGTGAGGGTAGCCCAAACATGAGACAAGGTTGTGTAGTGTCACTGGACTTAATTGATAGCGATGAAAAGGTGATTAGAAAGGCTTAGGATGGTATTAAACAACCTGAGATATTGTATGCTGATGATATTACCCTGGTAGAAAAAGCGGGAGACTGAAAAAATTGCACGACAGACAAACAAAAAGATTAATAGGAAATTTGATCAGTGTTTAAAAATGTGTTTCAACAGGATGATGACAAGCCCATGATAGAAGTGATGGATCAGCTGAGCTCCGCCGTGTTGGAGAGCTTTGTCCACGTAGCAGTGTCAGACTCGGTATGTATAGCAAACTTGCTTTTCTTAACACACGTTACTTTTTTACAAGGTGCAGTGTACCCTCTTAAAGGAAATAGGTTTGCTTGGGCTGAAACATTTATAGGAGACAATGTCTGAAAACGGCATCGCTTCTGTTGAAGGAAGGTGTCTAAATAGAATTAATTATAAAAATCTATAAGAAATGCTTTTACACAATAAAGGTTGGTCATAAAGCTTATAAATGTCATTATGAACACTGAGCAAGGCATGGTGGTGTTAGTGGTTTGTGCTGCATCCTTATTGCTCTAGGATGCTGAGCTTGATTCTAGACAGTGGGGCTTTCTGTTCTGTAGAGGCTGCCAGAGGTCTGTAATAGTTTTTTTTTCCAAAAGGATATTACATCAAATTATCATGTGTGTTGAAGGGGGTTGTTTTTTTTTAGTATTTTTTATCTTTGATAGAAGAGTGGTTTTAGTTGTTCGTTCCACAGGCATACTGAGTAGGTTAGTTGGTGTCTCAAAATTCAATGTAAATGTTGGCGATTTGTTGTTATTTAAAGGTTTTACACCAACATAAATCCCAGTATTGTGCAACATTTATTATAATTCATTTTTGTTGAATATTATTCTTCTATTTATTAAAATAAAATTTGTCCATGTTGTCCATACAACATGGAAAGGGTTCAACATGATTCTGTTAGTTGCTCTTTTGAAACTACAGTATTGCAACCATTTTTTGTGATTGTAGAGTCTATGCAAACCACTTTAAAATATACAGAAATCAATTCTCCTGGGTATAACGTCACTGCCTCCACTTTCTCCAGCATGCCAGCTCTTCCATTGTATCAGTATACATGAGGGCAAACCTAGTAATGCCAAAATCTGATAATAAAATGGCTTTGCTGGGGTCAGCCAGAGAATGGTGTCTTGAATCCATCAGTAGTTTGAACCTGGGTCATATCAACTAGCTGATATGGCTAGGATTCCCCCATTATAGCAATTTGCAGCAAGAGGGACAGGCTGGGATTAGTCAGGAAGGGTTTTCACAGCTTTTCGTTGAACAACAACTCTCTGGGAGACTTGCAGTGATGTCAGTGAGAGACAGGCGGGTCCTTTAGAGTATTTGGCACAGACACCCCTGTCAGGAGCTGTGCAGTGTGCGGTGTGTCAGTGGACAGTGTCTCTGCAAGCTGGCACATCGGGGGAGAGTGTCTTTGTGTCAGATTCTCTCTTGAGCATGTGTGGAAGTCCATACCATGAACCAAAGTCTTGAAAAAAGAAATCTGCAATTCCAAATTGGATGGATTTTGAAAAAAAAATAAAAAAGTGCCTTTTCATGCTCAAAAATAGGAATGAATGCATTCCTAAGCTCTTACAAATTTATTTTAGATGAATAGGTCAGATTCTGACATGTTCCTTTCCTCCTTAAAAGGGGGTTGTGTGTCTCCCCCTTAAAACTATTTTTTATAGTCAAATGATCATCTTTTCTTTGCTGTGCAGTGTAAGGTTTAGCCCTGATCTCAAACTGCAAGATTACTCAAGAGCAATGTCTTTTAATTAGATAGTGTGCCTGTGGCCTTACAGTGCTGTAAATTAACCCCATCACATTTCATTTATTACAAAAGCAATCTTGTAATTAATATCTACCTTAGTATAAATTGCCATTTGCTGTGAGAACAAAATTTTGACGGCTCGTTTTAAAGTGGGAAAAGAAATTAGTGTGCGATACTGGACAGTTGCTGTCCTCTAAAAATGATTTCATTTACATTCCACTCAAGCTGCCAATATTTCCTGGGAACACAACACGTGGCAAACTACTCTTCTGCCTAGCCTGCCATCAGAGAAATTTCTCAAGACTTACTCAAGTTACTCTTAGAGATGACATTTTAAAGAACACCCTAAAAGATGCCCCCCTCCATTCTATTTGATTCAGTGCTGTATTGTACATGTCAAATTCCAAGAGCGTGCAAGAACAAACACAAATGTTCTGAGCAAAGATGGATCATGTCAGCACCAGCTGAGATTCTGATAGATCTGTGCTATTAACAATGTGCTCACTCACCATAAATATGTAACTTGTTATGCATTTAAAACATGGCATATCCTGGTTAAATATACAGGGGGAATTCATTAGTTAAAAAGAAATTGATAGTTAGACAGAGGTTAATGTGCAAGCTTTAAATTTGCATTCCTTTCTAATTCTGGGACTCCAGCTTCACTGCCATACCGTCAGAAGCCATGCCTGGCAAAACTGCCCCTGTTTATATCTCAGATTCAGGTAGATGGAAGATGTCCGGAACAGCGTAGCTCTTCAATCATGTGGACAGCTGGGTGGCACCTGAGCTCTAACACCTGGGTGTGTTTAATTTCAACAGACTGCCCTCCCTCTGGGCCACCATGTGGACCTACAGTGGTTGGTGGAGTGGAATGCTGTGCTGGTGAACAGCCATTATGATGTGAAGAGCCCTTCTCATGTGTGGATATTTGCCCAGTCTGTGAAGGACCCCTGGGTCCTGTGCCTGTACAGTTTTCTGAAACAGGAGAACCTGCCCAAGCACTGCCCCACTGCCCTAAGCTACGCCTGGCCCTATGCCTTCACCAGACTGCAGCTGCTCATGCCTCTGGTCGACCCTACGTAAGTGTATTCAGTCATTTTCTCTGATCGTCTTTCAGCGTCCATCACAGCTATTGATACTGAGACCACGTGACCTTGGTATAGATACAGTATCTTTGACTGGCAGTATGTGCATTTAAATGATTTTAAAAGTGCTTTAATTAGTTGGGAAATTTGACAGTAAAAACAACATTACAGATTTGCATAAAGGAGTGTGAAAAGTATTGTTTTATTAGCCCTGATTTGCTAGATTTGTATTCATATTTAAAATCATTACTGGTTTAGTTTCTGTTTCTAATTTTGTATGATCACATTAATATGGCCTGATTGACCAAAGATGCAAACACACTAGGACTTGTGTCTGTAAGTAAAAAAAAAAGGCCATGGCAAGTACACTACAAAATATGGTACCTTCCAACTGAAGCAAGGTATCCTTCTTCAGAAGTGGATAAGCAAAGATCACCGTGGGAAGAACTGTAGAAGTTAATCTGTTGTCCCAGTACTTACTAGCAGAAGGAAGTGCTTTGTTTGTAATGAAGGCTTTATTCACTAGATTAAATGTAAACTGTTCAGTGAAGAGCATCAGTATTAGACATTGGGGTAAAGGTTGATTCCTTGTACCTCATGTAGGCAGTAAACCTCATGCATGTTTCAGTAATGTGATTGACTATAAATACCGTAATGGACTAATCTGACAAGCAGCGATGACCAAATTAATATGCTGGGATGTGTTCCATTATTTATTGTGTCCACATTTCTTTAAAACTGTAGCTGTTATAGAGGATGGAGTCTGGCCTTTATGACTGAATACTTAAATTGACAATATCTTACGGTTTATTTTTTGTTACGTGAGCAGCAGTCCAATTTATGCCAAGAAAATGAGCACAGCGAGCAGCGGAGACAACTACGTGACCCTCTGGAGGAACTATCTCATCCTTTGTTTCGGTGTCGCAAAGCCCAGCATCATGAGCCCCGGACACTTGAGAGCCTCGACTCCTGAGATCATGGCCACCACCCCTGATGGCAGCGTGAGCTATGACAACAAGGTGACTTCCTGTCCTGGCTGACTCTCTTTACACATGGCATGTGTACAGCGGTTCTGTACGGGGGGCTATAATAACAGGACAATACCTTTTAACATGGGTAGGGTGCATTAGATTGTGTACTTTGATTTGTTTAATAATCCAGCCCAATCTCAGTGCCATGAGCCAGAAGGGAGACTAACGCTCCTCCTTGTTCATGTCTTGCTGGAAATTTTACAGGTGATCGGTACCCCGTCTGTGGCAGTACTCCTGAAGCAGCTGGTTCCTCTGATGAGGGTTGAGAGCATTGAAACTACAGAGTCTCTCGTCTTGGGGTTTGGAAGGACAAACTCTTTGGTTTTCAGGTATTGGGAAACATTTCTGGTGTTGTTGGGGTTTTTTTTCTTGTTCGTTGTTTCACAGTGATGAAAAAGAAAACCACCCCCATCTGCTTTCGAGATTTAGGTCTAATACATGGAAGCATTAAATGTCTTAAAAGTGACATTGCCGTTAAAATCTTAAATCCCACATGTTACAAAAAAGACAAGTTAATGGAAGTGATTTGGATTTAACATAGAATTTTCTTTTCGGAGCTTTGTGGTGCAGTAGGAAGACCCTACAAAACGAGTAATTTTTTTCAATTTTTTAAAACAGCTGTGCTTCTTTCTTATCGGATCAAATGCTGATTAGTCTCTTGTGGTGTACATAAACAAAAAGATTAATAGTAAATCAAGGCCCTTTCTGGACTAAATTTGAGTAGCCATTATAATTCCTTCATGTACCAAGGATCTCTTGATTTCTTCTCAAGAACTACTTGTTTGTATTGCACCAGTACAAGAGCAACAAGGATCTGTTAATATGTAAGGGTAGTTAGCAGCTCACTTGTTCTCACGAAGGAGCATGGTCCTAGTATGGTGTGTGAACAGTGGGTGTGGAAGGGTAAGAATCTGGAAACCTCTCTCCTGTCAGATCCAGAAAACATGTTTAATGTCTTAGTAAATCATGAATGCCTGTGGGTTAATCACTCTAATGTGTTTTGATAAGCAGTGTTTGAGAAAAATGTCTGACCTGTTCCTCTTTTGTAATTTGGACTATAAGAAATCCTTGTGCTGCTTGTGAAGCTTTGAGTGATTAGGAAAATAACCTAACCTGGCAAACCGTCCGGTATTTCGTTAGCGGTATTCTCCCTTTGAATATGCATTCCAGCCCTGTCCAATGTACCACAGTAGGTGTGCGTTTCCATGCCCAAAATGACATGCCTGACTGGTGAGATAAGGAATACCTCTGTGCAGTTCTGTTTTCTTTAAATGCATTTTCCATATGGGTTCATGTAATCTAATAGGTAGATCAGATTATGTAAAATGAGTGGCTTAGACAGAAGATATGAGGTATTTGCCCAATAGGGAATCTTTAGTTTTCAGGAAGATGTTATTGAAAAATTGATGATTTGTATGAGCACATGAGTTAAGCTTACATACTTAGCTGCAGCTAATTTGAACTGATTACCGGAATCTGAGTCTTCTTCTAAAAAGTGAGAATTATACGTTCCACACATTTCAGGCATTCTTTAGATAATTCAAACAGACGTCATAACGTGCGTACCAGCTCACCAAAACATACTTTTTTCTGAAAATTAAAGTATATTCAAAATGTTTTCCAAAAGAAAGAGGTGCCTTTCAAATGCATGTTTACCTGCAACAGAGTAGCAAAATAAAAATCAAGGTCTCATGCAGACTATAATTTTAAATTCAGGAAAAACAGGATATTTCACATGATCAGCGTTTTGTCTTAAGAATTTTCCATTCTTCTGCTCACAGTTGAGTTGTGTCTTTAGTCTCAGCAATAATCTCTTCTTAAGACATGAGCTGAATTTTTTGTAATTACTAAATCATTTTTTTTAATCTTGTAACATAATAACATAAGTAAATAAAGTTTCAGACATGAAGAGGCCATTCAGCCCATTAGGCTTGGTTAGATGCTACTAATTATTTAAGGATCAAGGTGTCAGTTTTGAGAACATGGCTGACGCTTTGAGTAAACAAATGCCTTCTTTCCTTTAGCTTTAAATGTATTGCCTTGCAGTGTCCTCTTATTTGTCCATCCTGTCCCTATATTTCACTTGTGTCCATGCTAACATTTAGTTTGTTAGGGCTCCTGGTAAATGATTCCTGGTGTCTCATCATCTCATACAGTAAATGTCCAGAAAGCTTTTTTTTTTTAACCACGTGTGATCCAAACCTGAAGGTGCCTGGTTAATCCATGAATCACATTTGCTAAAAATGAATGTGGTAAATTCCCAACGCTAAATATCAATGAGGGGCATGGTGACAGCTGTGACACAAAAATGCCCTTTAAGCTAATGGCTGCCTCTCGGGTATGTTTTGGCAGGGAACTTGTGGAAGAGCTTCATCCCCTAATGAAGGAAGCATTGGAAAGAAGACCAGAGGTGAGGTCCATGTGTTGAATATTATAGTAATGTGTAGACGATTAAAGCTGTATCATGTTCAGTAAGATCTGTGCCTTATCATTAGCTTAGTGTATTTGCATCATAGTCATCATCATTATTAGAGAATGCCCAGTTACAAATGACTTACTCACTCTGTCACAGAACAAGAAACGGCGTGAACGCAGAGATTTGCTCCGGCTTCAGCTACTGAGAATCTTTGAGCTGCTGGCTGATGCCGGTGTCATCAGTGACAAGTAAGTGCGATGACGTCTCAATGCAGCTCTTCCTTTTGTTGGTAAATAGTAAAGGAAAGCGAACACAGTGCTCGGACGATTTCTTAGAGCTTCATCTTGGGATAAAAAAACAAGTTTTGTTTCCTTTTCTGGTCTGTTACATGTGAGAATGGAGGAAAAATGAGAAAGAATGAACTGTAATTAATTCCTTACACTTATTTAGGGCTTTTCTGGACACTCCACTGAAAGCGCTTTACAGGCAATGGGAACTCCCTTCCACCACCTCCAATGTGTAGCATCCACCTGGAGATGCGACGGCAGCCATAGTGCACCTGTACACTCACCACGCATCAGCTATCAGTGGGGAGGAGAGCAGAGTAATGAAGCCAATTCAAGATGGGGATTATTAGGAGGCCATGGTTGGTAAGGGCCAATGGGAAATTTGGCCAGGATGCCAAGTAACACCCCTACTCTTTTTGAGACAAACCCTGGGATTTTTACTGACCACATAGAGTCAGGACCTTGGTTTTATGTCTTATCCGAAGGACAGCACCTTTTTATAGTACAGTGTCTCTGTCAACATACTGGGGCATTAGGACCCACACAGATGCAGGGTGAGTGCCCCCTGCTGGCTCCTCTAATAGTGTACCTCTTCCAGCTGCAAACTTAGATTTTCCCAGAACGTCTCCCATCCAGGTACGGACCGGGCTCACACCTTCTGAGCTTCAGTGGGCTGCCAGTTGTGAGTTGCAGGGTGATCTGGCTGCTGGCTGTAGCCAACTGTAGCAGTAGCAATTAATTTTAGATCTGTTATATTTTGTTATGGCCTTCAATCCTGCCTTACTCTTCCTGTTCTGTCTCTGACAGCACTAATGGGGCTCTGGAGAGGGACACACTGGCCCTTGGAGCACTCTTCCTGGAGTATGTGGACCTCACTCGGATGCTGCTGGAAGCTGAAAACGACAAAGAAGTCGAAATTCTGAAAGACATTCGGGCCCATTTCAGTGCCATGGTGGCCAACCTCATCCAGTGTGTTCCTGGTACTGAGACATCAAGTTCCTATAGCCATTTTCTCTGTTCTTCTGTTGTACCTAGAATTCATATTTTGATATCATATCATTGATGTCATCAAAGTAAAATTGAATTGCTGAGGTAAAGAAGGCTGACAAAACAAGCAGTCTGGGATACAGTGGTTTCATTTTTTTTCTACTAGTTACAGATCACAAGACACAGTTTTTCTTGGCGAGGCTGTGTTCAGCCGTTAAGATCAAAATTTGAATTGTTCAGAATTAACTCTTGGCTCTTTGCCTGACGACAAGCAATTCCTTTGTCCCAAGTTTAAAGAAATGCTTACAAATCATGTTGTATATTCTGATACATAAGAAATTATCATTTGCTTTATTGTCACCACAACGTAGCTCAATGTTAGGATACATTAGGTATATGATGTGTTGACAGTGATCTTGATAGAGACCTTTTTCAAGGGAAGAAATGTTACAGATAATTAACTTTCTGAAACCAGGTGATGACTCATGAAGAGTGGTAGGTGGTTGTGCTATTGTTAGACTCTGTACCTGATGAAAAATGAATAATGATGTCATTTTCTGAGGGAAGCCGGTCTGAAATAATGAGCATTTTAAAGTGGTCTTTATTTTTGGAGGTATTTTCTTTACCCTAATGTTATGCCATAACTGAGTCTTTCTCTCCTTCTCCCCTCTTTCTCCTGGTCTGTTTTTCTGGCTCTTTCCATATGGCCCACTTGCTCTTTTTGTCTCCTCAGTCCACCATCGCAGGTTCCTTTTCCCTCAGCAGAGTCTGAGGCACCATCTGTTCATCCTCTTCAGTCAGTGGGCCGGTCCATTCAGCGTGATGTTCACCCCATTGGACCGCTACAGTGACAGGAACCACCAGATAACTAGATACCAGTACTGTGCCCTAAAGGTGAATCACATTATATCCAGGAAGCTCTGTTAGTATAAAAGTCTAGCACAAGCTATGGGTTGCACAAGAGAGTCCCAAGAAGAACTGGAATGTTGACTTTTTTGCAACAACCTAATTTGCATGTCTTACCTAATCAGTCCCCTGTGAAAGGAAAGCAGACAGCCTTTTAGAAGAAAAACACTGCAAGGCCCTGTTTAAAAACAAAATATTTTGCTGCAGGAAGTTTATTTGAATAACAAAAAAATCCATTAAGGTCGGTTTAAAAAATGTGACTGGCTTTTATCCTGTCAAGACTGGTTTTGAGCTGGAATTGAGCTTAACCTCTGTCCCTATTGCACGTTCTTACCACCTGTAGTTTAAAATTATTATTTTTTTACATTTGGTCTGGAGTGATATTTTGCTTCTCAACAAATAAAATGTCTGCATTTTTCAAATTATTAAAATGCAGAAACTGTGTTAGGAAACCACCTTTTACTTGTAACCCAGACACTGTAGGTATTATTGGAGCACAACTGTGTACACATTTGTATCACCTACAAAGGAAGTAACAAAGGAGAAAAAATTTAATTGTTGGATATTCTAGCAATGACATCATCTGGCCTTTGATTTAAATGAACGTGATAAACCTGTGCGTGACGTCAGTCTCTGTCTCACAGAAATGTTAGGGAATTGTACAAAAATCGGTCTGCTGCACATAGGAAATCTTAAATGTGAAGTCAGATCTCAAGCCCCAGAATCTAACCTGTACTTGAAGTCTAAAGCCTTTGTCTTTCACCATGTCTTGATTTGCCTGCTGTAGCTGACATGTGTTATTTATATCCAGGCAATGTCAGCAGTGCTGTGCTGCGGCCCAGTGTTTGACAACGTTGGCCTCTCTCCAGATGGGTACCTTTACAAATGGCTGGATAATATTTTAGCATGCCAGGACTTACGGGTATGTGATTTATGATTAATTGCTGATAAAATTAAAATAAGAGAAATGTTGGTTCTGAAGCTTTTTGAATTCTGCCAAATTCTTTCATTATTATTATTTATTTCCTTACTGAAATTAATAATAGGTTCGGGGTGTCTTTGTCTAAGCAAATTTAGTCTGCAGTTTCACAGTAAACCTGTGTTCCTGCATGGCCAAAGCACCAGTCCTATAGTTTACTGGATTGCCCTGTGTGTCACGCTTTCACTATGCTCTGCTGCCCTTCACTTAAGGAACTTGTGCTTATCATTTGCAGCCTCAAGATACCTTAACCATAACAGTTCCTTCCGGATGTGTGCCATGGCTCAGCAATGGCTTAGAAAGCATGAAAAATGGAATTAGCAATTGTCAAAGTACATTTTGCCTTCCTGAGTTTCTTAAATTATACTTTGACGGACTTTTGTAACTTAAAAGGTTCTTTTCCAGATTCCCGTGTTGCTTCCCCAGTAGAAACCAGTGTTCAGAGCTCTTTTTTAGCCCTATATAGCAGGTATTGCTGGTTCCAGTCTAGCTAAGAAATTAGGTGACAGCTACTGAGATTCTCAACTGTGTGCTCCGATCAATGCTAACTCTTCTGCAAGGCTCTTGGGATTATGGAGGAGTGTGTGCACAGGTCCTCATTTTCCCTGTGCAGGTGAATTGATGATTCCAAATTGGATAGGTCAAATGTGAAATTGACAGATAATTGCTGATTCCATTTTTTTAATGCACCACATATCCCTTCTGAGTCTGGAATTGTGTGAAAACAATTACCTTGGATATGAAAGAGTTTAAAAAGCCTTAACCGTGGAACAGGAAATAGGACTCTTTGATTAAAGTTATCTCACCATCTGTTGTCTAGCACACTTTCTATGAGCACCATTAATACTTCTAGAGGAGCAGGAAAAAGATGAGACAAAGCACTGTAGCTTAAATTGGCCTGGCTTGGCAGAAAACAGAGCCCTTAGAACCAGCGATGAAGCTTTCAAAACTGACGTACTCATAATAAACACCTGCAAAGTTACTGCTATCAGAAATTTTCAAGAAATCTTGTACAGATATTTAACCTTATACAAATAGAGGCATATTTCTTCTTTTTCTATACTTTCTTATTTTTGCTCACACACAATGAATTAGACATTACCTATAATATGTATTTTGAATGCACACATTTTTCATTTACTGTACATATTTTTCTTCTTTACAAAAATCCATTACTCAAAATAAATGTTAAAATAAGTTCACAGGATTTTGTGCTTTTATCTTTTCTCATAGTGCTGAATAATTTGGGTAAAAGGTCTTAGAAATCTATTTTTGCATCTTAGTCAGTACTGGCAGAGGTTATGTTTTTTAAATATATTTTTCCCCTTCTTGCATTTGTCCGTACACCAACACAGGTGCATCAGCTTGGCTGTGAGGTAGTCATCTTGCTGCTAGAGTTGAACCCTGACCAGGTCAACCTCTTCAACTGGGCTGTGGACCGCTGCTTCACCGGCTCCTACCAGCTGGCCTCAGGCTGTTTCAAAGCTATTGCCACTGTCTGTGGAAGCAGGTATTGACTTTGACTGTCGGTCCAGCACTCAAATTTAACAATCACCTTCGAATGTTTCTTCATTAGTCTCACAGACTACCCTGAACATATAATATGGGTAAGGTACATTATGTCCTTAAACTATAGCTTCTCGCCAGTCTGATCTTTTGAAAAATCACACTCATTATTCTCCAGTGTAGATGCCCATATAATATAGTTTTTCACTTGCCCAGATTATACATTTTCCATTCACACCACTGAGACGTTGAGGCTCTTGAGAGAACATTTTTGCTACTTATTAACATTTGAAATAAGCAACAAACCTGCTTTGAGATTAATTATTTCTTCTTTTAATTACGACTTTAGTAAGTAATGCCTGATTAGAATATCAGACTTCAAAAGGTTCTGTCTGGTAATCAGTTTTGGGGAGATAATGCAGTATCCACTAGGGAGTTAGGTATCAGAAATGTTTCTCATTTCTGTGTTCCAATGTACAAACAGCTTTCTTTTGCTTATAATTGCTGTCTGTGCTGAGAAAAATGTCTTCTTACGTATTTGCGCTGTTATATTGTGTTGGCCTTACATTTAATTTAGAGCAATTTATTGCACAATAATGTTTATGTAATTAACTTGCATGGTTGTGTAAGTAACTCCAGATGTCGTTAAAGTGTATTGTACATTTTTTTCTTTTAAATCTTGTTTTCAGAAATTACCCATGTGACATAGTAACACTACTGAATTTGGTACTCTTTAAGTCCTCTGACACCAACAGGGAAATATATGAAATTTCCATGCAGCTAATGCAGGTAAGACAAGGGCTTTTATTGTAGTTTTTTGTCCTTTTTCCTAGGGTTGGACAGTAAAAGCTCTCGAGAAAGAATTTCAATTTACAAGAGACTGAACACAATACTTTGCTATGAAAAATAACAAGTTTGAAGTTTACTGTGACTGTGTCTTTAAGTATTCACACTTTTTTCTAAATATCTAAATCCAGAAAATAAAAAAAGTCCAAGACAGTGTCTGATTGAGCTGTGAATACCATGATGTGTGAGAAATGTTTCAGGTATCCATACTAAAATTCATTTCACGAACTCGAGATTCTGCTATTACTGATCCAATCTTACTTGAATTCTATTTCTTTGACAAAACAGATCCTTGAAGCCAAACTTTTTGTGTATTCGAAGAAGACTGCTGAACAGAAACCAGGCAGCATACTGTATGGTACTCACGGGCCCCTGCCTCCTCTCTACAGCGTTTCCCTCTCCCAGCTATCTAACCAGCTGGCCAGGATGTACCCAGAGCTCACTCTCCCTCTGTTTTCAGGTGAGCCGCACTCAGCCAGCAATCTGTATGGTGCACTGTTTCTCAACCTTATTATTATTTCACACACTACACTGTTATTGGTATTAAAAAACAAAACCTATTTCAGTGTTTAACCTGGGTTTGTCTCAAAGTGCATACAGTAGTTTCCTTGTTCTGCGAAGAACTGATGAAAGTGACACTGTGAGGTTCGCTGGTTTTGTTTTTTGTGTCCGTAAAACTTGATAAACTTCTCTCGTCCTGCACGTAATTCCTGCCTGCACAGTCTAAGAGTGTGACCTGTGTCTTGTGTGTACACACCAGATGTGCTTCGCAAGACTTAAATTATTGGTCGTGGGGGGGCCAGAGATTATCTCGGCGCGCAACGGGCACAAGGGAGTATAACCGTGGAAGGGACAGCAGTCCATCGCGGGGCACACACAGACACAAACAGGTGTACACTCACACCAGGGCCAGTTTTGCCAATTAACCTACCAGAATGTCTTTGGACTGAAAACTGGAACACAAAGAGGAAACCCAAACACAGTACTGATTTATATGGTAGTAAGAATGGCATCATCTATATTTTTCCATAAATTGTGTGTGAATATGCTAATATATGCTAACTTTAGCCTCCAGTTAGGTTTGTATATTGAGTGTGGGAACACAAAAAATACCTTTAGTACATTTGTAACTCATTTGCTTTAAAGACTCAAGTACAGTACAGTACGTGAAGGGTGGCTAATGTTGTCTGTAGTCTCCCACTCACATGGATGAGCAGCCAATTAGGGAGGGAGAGCTCTCTCAGTCTCGTCTACCCACTGGCCGTTGCTATGGTACTGGGAATCTCTGAAGTGGGGCCCAGTGTACTGTTATCTAAAAATGAGGAGTATGAAACATTTTATTCATCCAGTAATTCTACTGATGATCAAACACAGGTCAAACACTTGAGGTCATAGTATGTTTTAGTGACTAGCTCTGCCAGTCTTTCAGACAGAAACTCTGGCAATACCTTATAAGTGGTATCGGATATGAGGTTTTACAAAAGTGAAAAGACCTCAAAAACTGTTACAAAATGTTATATGGTATTTAAATTAAACAGAATTTTGTAATTTAGCACAATACGTTTTTACTGAGCGTGTTTGTTACAATATGTCAATATTGTATATTAAATGTGAACATTTCAATGAGCATTTCTTAAGTCTTGAATACGGTAAAACCAGTTCATTTAAAAATAAGTTAATTTCTTATTTTGTATACCTGTCAAATAATATTTAACGAAAGGATCCTTGTAGGAAAGAGATATTTTTAATGGGCAACAAAACAATATGTTCACTGAACAGGGATGATGTTGCAAAAAATATGCTGCAAATGAGAGAATCCCAGTCAGCCTACTTTTCTCATTTGGTAGTTTAGAACCTAAGTGAACCTAACATTTTCTCCAGCTGTTCCCTAAAGAAGCCCGGAGTTTGGGCCTTAAGCCCCTGACTGGCATACTGGACTCTGCATGAATACTGGAATCCCTTTCTTGTGTAGCTTCCTGCAAATTTGAATCAACCACGTGTTATGCACAGTAAACATTCATACTTTCTGTGCACATCACTTTGCACTTGTGAAATTTCATTTGATATATGACTGCCTGATTTTATCAGAGTCATTTTGTAATTGGCTATTTCAGTTTTCACCATTCCCTCATTTTTTGGCTTCTGCAAATTTAGATAAATTTCTAAACTTTCCAGGATCTAAATCATTGATATAGATCAGGAAGGGCCATACAGTAGGCCTAAAAACAGATCCCTGTGGCTCATCACTGCTTACATAATTTGAGGTTATGCCCCTTAAGACTCCTCGTTACCTACAGTTTGCTGATCATTAATCAGTTTCAATCCATATGTAGACATTGTCCTGGATTTCTATTGCTTTTAATTTGAAAAATAACCTAACAAAATATTTTGGAAATCCACATACAATGGAGCATGTTGTAAGCATTGTAACTATTGTCGCTGACGCTTGGTTAGTTCAACAAAACCTTCACTTCCTACATTCATATTAAATATGTCTTAAAATCTCCCCTTGTTTTGTTTGCATTCTTCTAGTTTATTATAACTTTACTAATAACAGATGTAAGAGATACTGACCCATAGTTTTCTGATACAAGTTGGTCTTCCTTTTTATGAATGTGTGTTATGTATTGGCTGATCTCCCATCTTGGGAGATTTGAGAGTTGAAGTATCCTCGTTATGGCTGTGAAAAAAACACGCCTTATTTTCCTCAGTAGAAGAATACTGAAGAATACCATCCATCCCCAGTTTATTTAAGAGTTTTAGGTTGCGGTAGACCCTGTAGAACCTCAGTACCAGAAATACTCAGTACCAGAGCTCATTCTGTATATTGTAGCACATGGGACAATGTATTAATCCCCCATTATCTCATAAAGAATTTTTGTCAATTTTACTGTTTTAGTAGTGCAAAAATCCTTTTAATCCTTTTGCCCCAATGTAGTGTGTTATTTTAGACTTGCCTAACTTCTAAAAGGTTGTGGCCATTTTCACTGGTTTGCCTTTCATGTCAAAGAGGTCAGCCAAAGATTCCCAACCACCCATCCCAATGGACGTCAGATCATGCTCACCTACCTGCTGCCCTGGCTGCACAACATTGAGCTGGTGGACAGTGGGCTGCTGCCCCCCGTCTCCAGCCCCTGCACCCCAGAAGAGGAGGCCAAGGAGAGGGCTGACAGCCTGGGTCTCTCCCACACACTCAAGGGCACTGGCTGGGGCTCTCTGCAGGCTACCTCGCTGGTGCTCAACAACCTCATGTTCATGACTGCTAAGGTACTTTACAACAATGCATTGCTCTCGCTGCTCATTTTTTTCTTCTTTCCTGTTCAGTTTCTTATGTGTCTTTCATCTTTCTTCCAGTTCTCTTTATTCCCGCTTGCAACTGTTCTCCGTGCTGTTTTTCCTCTCTTTTGGTAATTTCCCAGGCTCTCCCCTCTTCCTGTTCTTTTCTTCTTCTTTCTGCTGTAAAACTGAACGGCTGAACTCCCTTTTTCTGTCGATGGCAAGTTACTGTTGGCATTTAGAACTTTCTTTTTTTTTAAGCATCTTTCCTATCTTGAAGTTGAAAAACGTACGGAGCGGGCAGCTTCTTCCTGCTTACTTCTGTTTATTTTGGCCTCTTCACAGTACGGAGACGAGGTGCCTGGGCCTGAAATGGAGAATGCTTGGAATGCCCTTGTAAGCAACGACAAGTGGAGCAACAACCTGAGAACCACACTCCAGTTCCTCATCAGCTTGTGTGGTGTGAGCAGTGACACTTCTCTTCTGCCATACGTAAGTGTAGCATCTGTATTTATGGGAACATTCTGTTACAATAGACCTCATTGTGTGGCTCCAACACAGAAAGGCCACAGTGCTAATTACAACTTTGTGTTTTTATACTTATCATAAAAATGTTTTCACTCATTAACTTTTGAAATTCTAAGTCATATTGCTTTAAGAATAGAAACTGAAGAATACATTTTATGCTTAGTAAAAGTAATATCATAAAATCAAACTTTTTACATCCCTCATAAACATTTCTAATTAATTTTAAATCCTCCACAGGCAGTATTTAGTAAACAAAAGGGATGCAAAGGGAATAGATAGGATCAAGAGATGTTACTTTTCATTTCCAGTTCATAGATTTTATTCCCAAAATGTATACATTAATCTTGTGGTTTGTCAAGTTTTTCATTAATTATATTCCAACTAAAAAAGTGAGAAACGACAAATTATTGTTGAGAGCTTTAGTTAAAAGTTAGAAAAGGAGCAAAAGATTATACTTTAAATATAACTTAAAATGGGAATCCATGTAGTATCTTGTAATGTCAAGGACCTGTGACTGTTCCACCTGGGTCAGATCCTGATCCTGTCCCTGTTTCTTGCAGATTAAGAAGGTCGTGATCTACCTTTGCCGGAATAATACCATCCAGACCATGGAGGAGCTCCTGTTCGAGCTTCAGCAGACTGACCCAGTGAACCCTGTGGTGCTGCACTGTGATAACCCGCCCTTCTACAGATTCGCTGCCAGCAACAAGACTTCTGCTGCTGCTTCTGGTCAGACACCGTTCCTCCAATCACTGCCATTGTGATTTGACGGCCAGATAGCACCTTTTAATATGATTTGACAAAAGCAGAACATTACAATCCAGCACACACAGTTTTGCACAGACCTAGCAATTCAAGTTTGAATCCATTTTGGATATAGTGTGTGGATTCATGGGTCACCACCAGGATCTGTCTGCTCATAGTGAAGAAAGGAGTCTGGCATCTTGCTTCATGCTCAGTCCATTATAAGAGGGGCTCCTGTACTTCTCTTCCCAGTGAGCTGTACTGTTTATGGAACTACAACAAAGCCTCGCTTAGCACTGATTCACCATGGTGCTCTTTGTCCTGGCCATTTTTAATGACTTGAAATCCACCTGTATAAAGAAAAATGGCTTTTATTTTATATGGTCCTGGCAGAAGCACCTACTGTAGATCACATTCAGGCTTTAGCTGATTATCTACAATTCCTGCTAAAGGCAAAACGCAGTGAAAAATTGCATGCCAGCTCTCAGCCACTGAGCGTGTGGCATGGTAACGTATGTTTGTTGTATAGCCAGTAACATTAGTAAGGGCTCATTAAAAGAAGTCTCAAAGCCTGTTTCAGCAAAGAGAAGTCTCAAGGCGCCCAGGATGAGCCATAGCCCTGGCTTTCTTGGCAGATGTAGTCTCCCACTGCTGCCAAGCTGGAAGAGTGAAGGCAGATGGTGGTTAATCTACTTAAACTCTGACTGAATGTACTGGTGCAGAGGCTACTTTTCTGTATTTCCTGTGCAACCATCATTCAGGAAAAAAGCTTTCTGTATGAAATGGATTTTAAAGCATATCATGTGTCAAAAATATCAGACATGCCAATTACCAATTACCAAGGCTTATACTTATTAAATAACACTCCTGGGAGCCCATCCTTTATGAACTCAGGCTATAATGGTATCTATTAATGCTGATTCTCTCTCCTTTCAATACTAAGCGAGGCTTTGCTGTACATGTACAGTACTTACAGTACATTGGAGGATAACAATTCAACTTTGAAGATGAATCAGCAATGTTTTGATTTTTAAAACTGGTATGGGTGCCCAAGACAGATGTTAATTCAGCTACACACGGACATCAGTAGTCTGTGGGTTGAGGTGATCACCAATCTGTTTTTACAGCACTTGCTATATTGGTGTCGCAGTTTTTCACATCACTTTTTTGTTTTACACCTGCCACATTTGTAATAATTCAGAGTTTTTGTTTGTGTGCCTTTTTTAGAAATTGTGTTACTTAAATGCTTCTGTTTTTAAAGGAAATCTGTTTGTAAATCTCACCATGATACTGTAAATGCATAAAATAAGTATAATTGTATTATTTTATTTTTTGTGCTTAGGAACAACATCCAGTAGCAATACAGTAGTTGCAGGCCATGAAAGTTTCCCTGATACAGATGAAACCAAACTAGCAAAAGACAACGAAGACAGGTGGGCATTTTTATTGGTATTACTGTACCTCTGATCATTTTTCTTAGCATTATCAGGAAACAAGAACTTACTACTGGCACAATGCACCAATATACTGTACAATCAACCCAAACATTTTACATTAAAATGTAAAATGTGTAGTAATGCTGATTATAAAACCCCATACACAATCTGCCTAAATCCCTGTATATTTTGCCTGATTTACTTCTGCCTGTAAATGTTATTTTTTCATGTATTAACTTTTAGAGAACTAGTAATTATTTAATTAGCAGGATTCAAAATGCCCTTTCTACTTATATACTAATAACAATAACTCATATTAACCTGCAAGATAAACAAAGACTTATATACTCTAAAACCTAATTATTTTTTTTTAAAGCTGTATTATAATTAAAGTGCTCAACATGTTACATCTGACATTTTGGAGACAAACACTGTCTAGTATCTACCTCAGTTCTGCAGAGTAAATATGATTGCTCACTTAAAATCTTATTGCTCTTGGAAGCCCAGACTCAATGTTACAAGAAACCATAAAAGCCTGAATTTAATTCTCAAAGGTTTAACTTACTTTAATGTTACTTCTGTTATACTTAAGAGCCTATTTGCTGCATTTAGAAAAAAATAGAATAGAGTTAATAATAATATTGTTACAGCTCTTAACACTTTACAAAAGGCATATTTCCTTCTAGTGAGCAAATTATAAGGTAATTTTAGCAACAGTATGCTGTTGTTCATATGTGTCTATGTTGTTTTATTTTCATGTTTTCTGTACAAGGTTCAGTAATGTGATCAGGGCACACACGAGGCTGGAATCACGGTACAGTAACAGCTCAGGAGGCTCCTACGACGAGGAAAAAAGTAAGTATTTTCTTCTTATTCGTGAGCTTTTTTTTGTTTTCAATTGATGTCTGTGGAGAGCTAAATAACTTGAGGAAGTTTTAGTTTTTAACACAACAAATTAAACAGTAGATTTGTGGCTTTGTCTTATAAAATAAGAAAACTGCTTTCTTTATCCGATTAGATTTAATTGGGTATTAGCCCTTTTTTATCATTACTTAAGAATCCTGTCATTTGAAAGGAGGGTCTCAGACAGATTGTATGTGTTTGAGGGAAAATGAATAATGTCCATACAAAATGTTCTGCTGTAGCAGTCTTGCACAAACATTTGAAATCTTAGAAATGTAACTGCTAAGGCAAAGTACTCTGTGTGCTTACCCGATGAGGTAATTACCCTTTATTCTTGCCTGTTTTTGGAAGTGTCACTGTGCTGTTGGAGAAGCTCCTCCACGCCTTTGTTTGTCGAATGAACTCCACTGACTTGACATTTATTTTATGTAGAGTCCTGTTTACCTCTGTCAAGGGAGCCATGTTGGTTTGATTCCTGAGAAGCTGGCCTTCAAACTGTTAACATTCTCCCACCCCCTCTTCTAAGAATCTAGATCGACTGTGAGAACTGGCAGGACTAAAAAGAGAATTTTGGCATGTGCCCCTGTGGTATCAGTGCCAGCGACCCCAAAACAGCTTTGCTTTATTGGTGCTGAGGAGTCATTCCGCTAAAAACAGAACAGCTCCGATATGTCTAAGTGTTGGCAAAAATACAGATTGTCCGAGATATTGCTCGCATTCATTATAGAGCACACTCAAGTGAACAGTGACAGCCTACCTTTTTAAGAGACTGGAATGTGTTTTGTTGTAACTGCATGCTACGCTGAGAAAGAAGCCCAGTGCATGCCAAATGTTTCTTAGAGAGCCATGACTATTGAAGCTTTTTAGTTTACAGGCCAAATGTGTCCATTTTGGGAGGATACTCGTTCGCTTCCTTTCTGAATAAAAAACAGTCTGGCACTTATTAAATTTAATAATAATTCCT